CTAACCCTTATGGCTTTGCAGAAAGAAGAAATAATTAAATGCAGATTTTAAGGAGTAGGTTTTGAACTTTATTATCAGTAACTTTATATGCATCCAACTGTTCTGTACATCCTTCTGAGTGGCCTGTATCTGTAGCCAAGTTAAAATAATCTTGAAAACCAATTGGAAGTATTTCACACTGACCTTTTTCAAATTACAATTTACTAAACATTAGAAAGGCTCCCTTGGTCTCTTTTTGGTAGACATTCCATCTTAGTTCCATTTCTTAACACACAAAGCAATGTCATTGAGGCATTAGCTGCTAGAAAATATACACGTGGTCAGTGCATCAGAAAACTCTACCCTGAGTTGACCCTTGTCTGAACACCAGAAAACATCAATAAATTGGCCAAAAGCAGAAATAAAGCTCTGCCACAAATTTTCCCCAGAACAGGGAGAAATATTTAGAACTGTCTTCCAAAGTAGTGTTGAAGCAAGTCTTGGCCACAACATGCTAGACTGATGAGTTTTTTGTGGATTTTTTTTTTTTGTAGACATCCCACACTACCAGAGTAACAGGTTTTAAATCCCTGTTTAAAGTTCTTAATGCCTAAAAATCTGATTATGATCTCAGATAAAACTCACTCTGCATTTAACACAACTAAGCAGCCAAAACAGGACTTGACACAGGGTCATCACAAATATATTCATGCAAAGTACAAAAGTGAAAGACTGGCAGAGTATTTGCAAAATATTTGCCTTTGTAAAATGAAAACAGTATCAAATAATAATCTACTCTTAAAAAAGCTTCAGTCCCACTGCTATATTGCTAATTTGGAAAAAAGCCTCAGAGGCTGGAAGCTGCTAAGAAGATGACAGCAGGACAAGGCCAAGAGCAGCAAATGTTATGAGACAGTAACGGAGACTGAGCAGTTCTGTTCTAACCTATGTTTGACTCAACATATGCTAAGGAATTGACCTTACACTGTTACTAATTCCCTGCTTATTGAAAAATTGTGGAAAGGCTTAAAATTTTCAGTTGGTAGTTAAATACGGTTTCTATTTCTTATCTTAGTAGAATAAATTGTTAGCTTAAAAATCCATAAAAATATTTTTATCTATTACACAGTATAGTTCAATGAGTAGTAAAAAATTCACATTTAATTAAATTAAAAATGCTCCTGATACCATCTGTAAGTGCTTCAACAAATGTAGCATCCACCTAGTACAGTTTCCCTCAACCAACTATTATAAAAATAGGGTAATGGCCATGCTTCACACATCACAACGTGTTTTCTCCTGACCTAAACAGTTGAGGAAGGAAAAATGAGAGTCCTGTTAGTCTTCAGAGAAAGTTTATCACAATAACCAGAGCAGTGAGGTCAGGACAGTGATTATAAAGCTGGCTGGCTGTAGAGGCTGGAATTTTTCCTGAGCTGATGCTGCAGCTATAAAAGAGTCAGTCTTCAGAGAAAATGATAAGGAACTGTCATTTAGTGGCTTCAAGAGCTTCATCGTGGTACTAACAGTATGCTGGGGTCTCAGAAGGAACGAGCCCTGTGGCTGAGACTCATACCTGAGTGAGACTGGCAATAGTGGAGTGGGAAAACCTTATACTGAACTGGAAAGATGTGCAAATATTGCTGCTAGTCCAGTGTGACTCCTGCAGAGAAAGCCAAAGCATTCAAAGGCCACCAACATAAAGACACCAGGAAGCTGACAGAAAACAGAGGCAGCTCATTCTGAGTAGTGTTCTGTAATAGGCAAGGTTCTGGAACACTTCCCTGTGGGCTCTAAACACAGGACAGCAATGTTCACACGGTTTTCTTGATCTTGAGCCCTCATTAAAATGCATCTCAAATTAACGACTTTTTGCCTGTGATATTCTTCCCATGTGAAATACAGCTTCTAGAAATAACCCTTCCAACTTTTTCAGAATGAAATAGGCATTCCCCTTCCCATTTTGATGATAACTTTAAAAAAAAACCAGCTACTTCATCAAGAAGAGGAAGGAAAGATATCAGGATAAGCAGGAGGCAGAACTGAGTTAGTCATAGATATTAAAAATTCATTGGTTCCAGGGACTACATAGAGTTAGCAAAGTGAGTGAAGGAAAAGGGAAGCTGTTTGTAATTCACTGTCTGTAACAAGGTAGATTTAATAGCACTCAACAGACGAAACAGGCAAGGACATACTGAAAGCCCTAAATCACTTCTGAGACATTCAGAGTTATAGGAGTGAGTGGTTCAAAGCTTCCATCCACACACAGTTTGCTTCCTCCCGGACTTGCAGAGTTTCACATCACTTTAACGAATACAAAGCAAAGGCTTTTAAGCCTAAGGGAATGAAAAGTTTAATGAATCCTCAGGACTTTGCAATCCGCAATGGAAAGTCTTCTTGTGGTGGGTTGACTGACTGAATATCAGGTGCCCACCAAAGCTGCTGTGTCACTCCCTTCCTCAGGTGGATGGGGAGAGAAACCACAACAGAAGTCTCATGGCTCAAGGCAAGATCAGACAGAGATCACTCACCAATTATTGTCACAGGTAAAAAAGACTCAGCTGGGGGATATTAGCTCATTACCAATGAAATCAGAGTGGATGATGAAAAATAAAAACTCAGTTTAGCAACACCTTCCTCTGTATTCTTCTCTTCTTTCCCAGTCTCAACTTCACTCCAAAATTGTCGACCTGCTCCCTCTCAGCAATGCAGGGGGGTGGGAATGGGGGCTGTGTCACCTTGTCTCTGCTCACTCCTCCCCATGGACAGGACACCTCCCACTCTTCACCTGCTCCTGCATCAGATCCTTCCCACAGGGACAGTCCAACACCACCTTCTCCAATGTGAGCCCTTCCCTTGGGCTGCAGTTCTTCACAAACTGTTCTGCTGCAGGCCCTTTCCAGGGGGTGAAGTCCTTTAGGATCAGACTGTTCCAGACTGGGTTTTTCCCCTCTCTTAATTAAATGCATATCCCTAAGGCAGTACCACCATTGCTGCTGGGCTTTGGCTTGGCCAGCAGAAGGACCACCTTGGAGCTGGCTGGCACTGGCTCTGCTGGACATGGGGGAAGCTTCCAGAAGTGTCTCACAAAAGCCACCCCTGCACCCCTCTGCTACCAAAACCTGACCACAAAAACCCAATACACTTCTAAAGGTTTCTCTGTAACCTCTCTGGAGATCTCAGTCTTCAAAGCTTTGATGGTGCTTAAAATAGCTTATGGAACCCCCCCAGTCTGATGTTCTCATTTTACAAACACTTCTCAATCAATAGGACCTTATTCTGCTCAGGTTGGCAAATTAATACTTTAGTATTAGATATAACTGAGCAGGAATTAGTAAAGAAGGTGCAGAAATACTATTGATTCCTAACATGCTCCCTTGATCAGCAAAAGACATAGTTAAGGCACTCAGATAATGTACTGCAAATGGACAGGTTAAAAAATACCAAGCATCAAATTTAACACTGAACATGCAATATATCAATGGCTTATGTTCCTGCTAGATGCTCTTCCAAAGAAAAAAAGACCAACTAGGACTGCTTTATCAACTACAGCTTTAAATACTACATCTATCTCTAACCCAGCTAAGGGTTCTTTTTTGGAAGATAAGTGATCCAGTTCTAAGGAAAATTATTTTTATAAGTTATTTATCACAACACTATTTTTTTGTACAGTGCTATTTTCTAATTATTCTCCCAGATGAAGCATACTTCAGGATACTGATGCAAACAGCTCTTACTTCCACACCACTTCTATAGACACATGCTAAAAACAGCAGATTATATATAAATATGAAGTTACTCAAAGAGGCTTATATTATACAGCTCTCTATGTGCCCTAGAATGTATGTCCTGGAAACAGGCTGTTCAATGAGGACTGATTCGTTTGAAAGCATTGTGAGAGAACCACTTATCTGCAGTACCCACTTGGACTAGTCAAGTATAGCCAGGGGAAATTTAGGCATGTTGTTAAAGTATTCTTCCTTAAAATTAATGAACTACATTAACTTCTTCTGAATTGTTCAGTTATAGGCATAAATGTTTACAGTAACAACTTTAAACTTCTTCCCTAATAAAGCTACATGTATTATATAGAAAACTGGGTTTCTGCCAAAATGAAAAAAAAAACCACCTGGTATTTGATTTAGATGGTTTTGTTGGAAGTCTTTGGAGGAAGAGAGGCACAGGTAGGTGAAAGAAAGATTTAGAGTAAAGCAAAAGAATATCTAAATAGCAACACTACTTTCAGGAACGCAGAATCTCCTTTTTTGCTAGTCTAAACAACAGAGAAAAAGTCCAGACACACTTGGCTGTAAAGAGGGCACACTAAAACCTTAAGGCATTAAAAGCATTGTCCTTGAAGGTATTGTTTTTCTATAAGACTAAATTCATTTTTATCACTATAGTTTTGATTTAATAATCTTTTTTCTCTATCTTACCGTTGTCTAAGTTAAATTTAAATTTTCCCTAACAATTCATAACTGCATAGTTTTGTCACATACAACATAAAAAGTATTTTGATATGATTCTAACGTTTAATACAATAAAATCAAGATGAATATGTATGGCTTATTGAGATACACTGTGCATTGTTAAAATTTTAGGATTAGTTCTGAAGCTTTCATAAAAATATTTTACTTGTCTAATCATTAAACAACTATATGACCACAAAAATAGGCTTGGCAAGGAAGATTAGAATATCATTCTGTTTTAGTTGAGAACTAAAAGTCTACAACACTGTGATTTTTCAGACTTTTTGGAAAGCAGAAAGCTAATATTAAACATTTAAGAGGTACATAACTATTTTGCCAAATGCACTGTAAATGTCTTTATGGTGGTGTATACATACAAACTGATTTTTTAAAATTAAACAGTTCAGTTCTCAAATGGAAAGGAGATGACCACATTTGTCAGAGATGCTGCGTGTAGGACTTAATTAGGTGCTAATGACAGAGACATCACAGAGCTGTGGAGGGGTGTGAGCCCCCCGGCAGGAGCCACAGCACATCCCCAGCTGCACTTACATACTCCCCGTAGGTGTCCTGGGCCGGCGGGGGCGGCAGGGGCCGGTACCCTGCCGGGGGAGGAACTCCTCGTGCTCTGGGTGCCAGAAGTCCCCGGCTCCGGCTCACTGGTCCTCTGCTGGGAGGGACTCCCCTGGGAGCTGGTGCCCCTCTGGGCACTCCTGCTGGTGGTGGAGGCACTCCCCCACGGCCCCTGTGAACACACGGATCACTCATCATTAAACACCATCCCCACGCCTCCCTTCCAACACCTCCCACCCCCACTTCATGGCAGTTTTGCTTTGCTACAGCCAGAAAAAGTCTAAAAGAGATTTAGAGTTGGTCATTTCTCTGCAGGCTTAAATCCGAGGATGCATTATGCAAAAAATGATGGAAGATACAAACTAGACGTGGGATTCAGTGATGAACTCCGCACTGACTTGAGTCATTCTCACACACGCAGACACACCCAAAACAATCTGCTGGAATCAGTCAGCTTCACTGGAATTTGACTTCTAGTATGTGAAATCACAAGCACAGAATAACAGCTTCATTTGAAGGTGTCAGGCTATATCATACTTAAACCCTGCACAGTTGCCACTCCCTTCTGATCCCATGAAAGCTTCTGAACACAGCCCCAAAAAACACACTGGGTGTAAGATACTAAGTGGGTCCAAAAAATACATTTTCTTCTGCTTCTGAAGAGATTTCCATCTGTTTCAGGAAACATTCAAACGTAGTAAACGTGCAGGGTGATTATAGGATATAACCTGATGTTCTGTATGTATTTAAGAACACCAAATGATAGCATATTTGGTCTAAAAGTCCTGAAAGGATGATAACCACTGACTTGCATTCCGTTACTTTGGACACTTAACATATGGATGAAGATGAGACTTCAGTTGAACCAGTTTTCAAAAACCATTTGATCCATTTAGAAGTGGCTTTTCCTCCTGTCTCTCTGTAGTAAAGGGAGAGACTTAGAGGTATAATCTGTGAGAAATTTGCATCATTTACTCTTTTTTAAACAGTCTAAAACATTTCTAATAGACATCTTTTAAAGGAGATAATTTCAACCCATGAATTATAATTCAGTCTGAATGACTAATGCTGTTGGCATATAGGATTCTTCCAAAAAAATCAGACCCTTATCATAGACTCTAACAGATAAATACAAGGAAATAAGGCACAGGCTCTACCCTATCTTTCTACCTACCAAGCCATTATCTAATTAAACTCAAGAACAGTCATGGAATAAAAATGTCCTGATTTCAGTAGAAATTTCCAACTTGAACAGTATTATAAAGATCCAGATTTGGCCTCACGATTTCTTATCCCCTTTCATACAAGTCATATAATTTCACATCAATAAGTGAATCAGAAAACAAGGCAATCATTCTACCACAAATAAGTAGTATTTCAAAAACTGCATCACTGAATGAGGAATGCAAAAAATGTAAAGATAGAACCAGGATAGATTTTATTATTTTAATTACTGATCAAAACACAGTCACAAAGTATTTCAAACGAGCCTAGAGAGCAAGTGATTTAAAACTGTGCTTATTACTTGGTTTTGGCTAATCTGTAGAATGCCTCCTCAGGAGAGGGTACCAGTTGCTTATTTGACTTCTTAGTAGTAGGGGCAGGGGTGAGCAGTGAAGTTCCCAGATACAGCCTGCTGAAGTAATATAAAGAAATAGCAAATGTGATACTTTCCAAGAGAAGCCAGAGAAAGGGAAATGAACCTAGAGGCACAGACTATAGTCAACACCAAGTCAAAACAAGAAAAAGGTCAGTAAAAAGATTCAAGAATCACTAGGCATAATCGTGACAGCATCCTTCAGGCAAGGTGCAAGTGAAAGCAGGAAATGGGATATGCTGAAAAACATGGAAAAACATTTAAGTGAAGAAAAAAGGTACAGTTTTTCAAGCTAGCACAGATTTTTTTCTGAAAAAACAGATCCATTTATTCTAAAACCAGATCCATGTGATGAGGTCTTCTTTGCACTTAAAAAAAAAAAAAACAGCTAATAGGACTGGAATGGTGATGGGTGGGAAATAATATTTCTCCTGTATTATGAGATCATGTATGATCTTAACTTCTCATAACTTTATTCATTCCTCCTACAGAATCTCTTAAACTGAGACGTATGGTTCTCATGGTTACTGCACCAGGTTGGAAGAGACTGGAAAAGCACCAAGACAGAAAACCCAGTGACAGGAGAGTTCCATCAGCACCACACAGACTTGAAGTGTATCAGGTTATGATACTTAGAGGAAATTTTTAGAAACCGTAAATTGTTTTTTTAACTTGTATAAAAGTTTGTATATTGTAAATTGTATATGCATTTAATTTAAGAATTGCTCTTTCTAAAGAAGTTACAAAGGAACTAAAACTTGATGGACATTTACAATGAACAGACTCAAAATATCGATAAACCACTTGAACAGGAACCTTTGCAAAAACAAGAACTGTACAGGTATTGCTTAATTTGAAAAGGGCAGCTACACAAATTACGTTTAAAAGTTTTTAAAAGAGTAAAATGTACACATGTGATATGGGGAGATAGCAATTCGGTGGGAAGTCAGAGCAAATACAAAAGAGAAAAAGCTTGAGAAAGGGCAATAGGAGCTCACTAAGGCTAGAGCAGGTTTTAAAAGAAGTATCACCTGAAAAGCTGAAGCCAACCCTAACCTCAGAGGAAGAATTCTAATAAAACAAAATACTCAGGAAAGCAGGTCCAAGATAACTGAAGTCCTTCAATTGTCCCAGAATCAGGAAACCTCCCAGAGTGAGCTCCAATCAGCAGTGCAAATCAATTAGCATATATGAATGTCCACATGGACATGCACATTAAGATTTTGCTACACAACCAAGAAGAACTGAACAAGTTTCTCAGGGTAGAGCTGTTCTTACAGTAATCCACTGGATAGTGCTGCCAGTGCTTTAGAGACAAATTATGGAACAAAAGGAACAAATAAAAGTATATGCACTATTTTTCAATAAACTGCAACAGAGGTTCAGATGCCTACTCTAATCAGTAGCTAAATTCCAACCTGAATGTTTTAGGAAAGAAAATAGCTAAAAAAAAATCCAACTTAGAGGGGACACTTGGGAGTTAATATATAGACCCATATAAATTTATATATCCTACCATTACACAAACTACTAGGTTCTGCACTATGACTGCCTATCTAGAATTGAGACTGGCCCGGAGATCAGGACAATAAAAATACACTTTTAGAAAACATAAAAGTATACACAACTTTGCTACTCAACTGTGTGTATTCAAAGACTTGTTTCCTAGATTAGCTTCTTTCCTAATTTAAAAAAAACCAAACTCAAAACAGAAGTGGAAGTGCATCAGAAACTATGTCAAAGATAATGAGCAGTCTAGAACCGTTCACAGGAACGGTTTAAGGAATTAAGGAACAATTAACAATATCAGGAACAATTAAGTAGATTAAGGCACTTCAGACTACAAATGACAACTGAGGCTTATCTGATGGATCCAACAGAAACATCAGAGGAATGGAGAAGGCTGAGATGCCCTCAGCACAATCTACACCTTCCTCAAGGGGAGCAGTGGAACAGGAGGTGCTGGGCTCCTCTCTGGTCACCAGACACAGGACCAAACAAAACTAAATGAAGCTGATTTTGATATTTCATTCTTGCCTGGACTTTTAATTTCCTAATCAAGTACTGACTGAGGGGTATCTATCTACTTCTGAAGCCTCTGAAGAAATTGCACAGAGAGTGTTTTCTATCCTTTGCTTTCTACAGCTATCTCACCTATAAATTAAAGAATATTTGTGCAACTGCTAATATTTAGAACAATTGTTCTACATCTTTTATCCCAGCTCTGTTTTATCACATTCAGAGATACCTGACCCTTAAATCAAACTTCTCATGGCTCCTAGACTACTTCCACTGCTTGCTTCTTTGCACAAGGACATCCTTCTGCAGGCCAAATTTCAAGTGCCACTAACTCTCCTTGTCTTTGCTACCAGACTGCTGATTAGTTCTATTTTCTTTATAAAACCTTTGTAACAAGTAACACATTATCAAAGCTGATTTGTCAGCCCATTGTCAGCCTTGACTACCAACTGATACTCTAAAACACATAAGAGGCATTTTTTGTCTCTATTTTCCCTCCTCTCTACCATGATGTCACCTCTGATCCTGTCAGAAATCTTTTGAATATCCTCAATAAGAATCCCTTAGGAGTAAGAACCCACAAAAACTTGTTATAGTGCTGAGTCCATATATCCAGGCTGATGGCATGCACAAATAAGCAGTGAAGCTCCCACAGATGTGTCTCCAAACTTTTTGAGTACTTTTATTGTGCAAATACTTTAGAACAGGGTTCAAATGTCTTATATTCAGGAAAGCTGAAATGAAAAGGTCCTTGCCAATAACCCCTCTGAGTATGACACTGCAGTACACAAGTACTGGAGCATCACAGGGGACACTAGCATTTGACTTTCTTTTTGCTATGTTTTTGAAAAAAACCTTTAAGTACCTATTAACTGAAATTTCTATCACACACACACTAGTACTTAATTATTGGCAGTAAACACACTCCGCAAATCCTATCACCTAGCCAGGTGCAGTTATTGTCACTTCCAAAAAGGCTTTAGCAACAAAACACTCATCTATGCACTTGAGTCCATTGTGCTCTGCTCCCAAAGAAATATTTTATTGCCAGATTATTACTGCTTCAAGAAAATTTGAAATATTTGTTTCATCTTTATAATCACTTCAGGTTTGATTTTCCTGAATTTATTAATCTGGCAGTAGTGAATCCAGTGAATAAGTTTACCCTTTTCGATTAAACACACAAGTAATTTACATTGTTATTTTCTGAATAATTCTACTCCCAAAGCTGAGTAATTATCTTGTAGGTGCTGCATTAAAAAAGGCTTTTATATCTGGGTACCATGGACTAGACTAGGTAGAGCAAATCCCTTTGTAAAATCCTAGTAACTAATTTAACAAATTTTGTTTCACTACAAAATGGGAGGAATAATCTAATTTAACTCATATACTACATCATCCCTTGAAGATACTGTCATGAAAGCTGTTTTTGCTGGAATCTCTCATCTCATAACATTATTTCATTACTTATACTTCCAATTCAATATACGAGGAAAAAGAAAGCACAAAGTGAAGCACAATTTCTATAAAGCTATAAACAGACTAGGGAAGGGGAG